CTCGACGGGCGGCCCGCGTGGGAGCCCTGATGTCATCTGGGGAACCCAAAACAATCGGCCCTTTCATGGCGGGACGATAACAATCAAAACAGTATGTAAGGGCCTGCCATGCAAGAATACACATGCACATTATACACTGGAGGGAACTGAAAGCCGTAGTGAAAAGGGGCTTGTTAAGAATATGTAGCCTGCTTTCATAATCAGTTGGTAAAAGAATGGGCCCTTGAAAACAAGGGTTTAGGCTTATAGAAGGCTTTCTGTGCCTTGACCTTGCAAATATGCGGGGATGCCAACTTTTTTTTGCAACTTGGAGTCGCCCAGCGTGGTGCCATAGCGGTTGGCAGGCGAGCTGGGGGTAGGAGGTCCAACCCCGGTAGGTTCCTGGGGGGCAAGGGGTCTTTCCCGCTCCCCACAAGGAGCTGGTCCTCAGTGGAGCTCCACCAGGATGCCACGCTTTGAGCTTTTCTTCCTTAAAACTGCAGCGCTGGGCTGCGCTGCAGGAGAGGGTCGGCCACCGCAAGGGCAGACCTGTCCCAAGGGCAGACCCGTCCCAAGGACGGACCCGTCCCAAGGGCAGACCCATCCCAAGGGCAGACCCATCGCAAGGGCAGACCCGTCCCAAGGACAACCCGTCCCAGCGTCGCTGGCTGTCTGCAGAGCTCACGTGTAGACGGCATGTGTCCAAATGGTGTTCCTGTTCCCAAATCAAGGAGGTTGTGGAGGACGTCACTGTCGTCACCCCCATGTTCCAGATGGGGAAGCTGAGGCAGCGTGCTGGGAAAGGTAGCACGTCCGATGCATATTTGCTCCTGGATCCCTAATGCTTCCAAGGACACCTGAGGCTGTTGTGCCCAAATGGAGGAGACACTGCAGTGACATTCCCATGTTGGCCAGGGTGCTGGTGGCAGAGCCACTGACGGTGCACGAGCATCCCCAGGCAGAATCCGGTGCAGTTTCCCCTGGGCCGCTCTTTCTTTAGACCAATGCACATTTGCAGGCTGGGGATGGGCCACGGGTTTTCCTTCTTGTCTGCAAAATGTCTTCTTGGCTGGACATGGGTGACTCATGAGACCAGATGGGCTTTGCTTCTGGCACCTCTCTATCGGTTATTCCCCACCTGCCTCACTGTAGAGACCCTAATGTCTCTCAACATTTCATCATGATGATTGTCGCTCTGGCTATGTTGGCTTGTCTCACAGAATCACAGAATGTTGGGGGTTGGAATGGACCTCTGGGGACCTGCCAGTGCAACCCCCCTGCCGAAGCAGGGTCACCCAGAGCAGGCTGCACAGCAACGCGGCCAGGCGGGGCTGGAATATCTCCAGAGAAGGAGACTCCACAGCCTCCCTGGGCAGCCTGGGCCAGGGCTCCGTCACCCTCAGAGGGAAGAAGTTCTTCCTCATCTTCAGCTGGAACTTCCTCTGCTTCAGTTTGTGCCCGTTGCCCCTTGTCCTGTCACTGGGCACCACTGGAAAGAGTCTGGCCCCGTCCTCCTGACCCCTACCCTGCAGATATTTTGAGGCATTTCTAAGGTCCCCTCTCAGCCTTCTCTTCTCCAGGCTGAACAAGCCCAGCTCCCTCAGCCTCTCCTCGTAGCAGAGATGCTCCAGTCCCCTCCTCATCCTCGTAGCCCTGCGCTGGACTCTCTCCAGGAGCTCCTCATCTTTCTGGAACTGGGGAGCCCAGCACTGGACACAGCACTGCAGATGGGGCCTCACCAGGGCAGAGTCATCTCCTCTGTGTCCCGCAGCTCGTGTGGGCGCCCGGAGGTTCGGCCCCCCTGGGCCAGGCTGCTCCAGTCTGTGCATCTGTTTTACAACGTGTTGCTTTGCAGTCGGGGGAAGCCTTCCAAGAATCCCCACCTATTTCCGTAATAAGGCCGCCTTTGTTTTCCTCATGCACAATGCAGCTTTGATTCGGTCGCTTTCTCACCAACCGTGTTGCCGTCGGCTCGGCCCTGGAGCTGCGGAGAAGGTGTGAGGCGTGCACGGCTCGCTGGCGAAGGGGGAGAGGAATGGCCCGTGGGATGGTTTTATTTCACGTTTGGGGCCAGCGGAGGTAAATCTGCTTTGCCTTAGCACCCGGCCATCTCCCGAGACGCCGCGCTGGGCAAACAGAGGTGGCCCCTGCGCCGCGAGCACAGGTACCCTGTGTGCAGCGAACCGAGGCAAAGCAAATAGGAAGGCTTATGTGTTCCTGGCCTCCATGTTGTCACGGAGTTGTCCTCGTCCTGATGAGATCAGTGTCCTCAGGAAAGGCTCAAAAGCCCCCGAAGTCCAAGAAATGTTTGGGCAGAACTTGTGTGGTGGGAAGAAGTGTTGAAGGAACGAGGGGTCCTAAGGGATGGGGAATGTGGTCGGGGTGAGCAGAAGACCTTTGCAGCGATGTGGAGGGACTGGAGGCCAGCAGACAGGGGATCTTGATGGGACAAGGGGTAAAGGCTTAAATCTGAAAGAGAGTGGATTTTGGTTCGATATAAGGAAAAAATTATTTACGATGAGGGTGGTGAAACACTGGAACAGGTTGCCTAGAGAAGCTGTGGCTGCCCCCTCCCTGGCAGGGTTCAAGGCCAGGTTGGATGGAGCTCTGAGCACCCTGGGCTGGTGGAAGATGTCCCTGTTCATGGCAGGGGGGTTGGAATGATATGGTCAATAAGGTCCATTCCAACCCAAACCTTTCTGTGATTTCTGTGAATGGTCTTTGAAGGTCCCTTCCAACCCAAACTATCTGATGATTCTATGAGAAGACCAAGAGCCCTGCTGGGGGCTGGGGGAGGTGAGTGGCCTGGCCCTGGCAGGGCCCTGCCTGTGCTGGAGCAC